AAATATAGGTTTATCACCCCAAGATCTCGGTTCCTCTCGATATTGGCATGTATCGGACCGTAACTTCATGGATTATGGCCCCTGATTGTACGAAAAATCACGTTTTGAGCTTGTGAACACTGTAGAGGTCACAATTTTTTATCCGATTTGATTTAAACTTGAAATGTATGCTTATAACCCAAAGATCTTGGTTCCTTTCGATATTCGTGCATATCGGAACGTAACTTCCTGAATTATGGCCTCTGATTGCGTTTTTAGCTTGTGGACCCTATAGAGGTCATAATTTTTATCCGATTTAAAAAAACGTATTATTATATCACCGTTACACCCTACGGACGACTGAGTTCGAATTTCATGAAAATCGGCCCAAAACTGACAGACAAAATGGCTGCCCTTCGTTCTCAAATAGCTTAAAAATATGGTATATCAAGGTTGTGGAACCTATAGAGGTCACAATTTCTATCCAATTTTGTTGAAACTTGAAATGTAAGTTTATAGCCCAAAGATCTCAGTTCCTTTCGATATTCGCGCATATCGGACCGTAACTTCCTGAATTATGGCCCCTGATTGTTCGAAAAATCACGTTTTTAGCTTGTGGACGCTATAGAGGTCATAATTTTTATCCGATTTAAAAAAACGTATTATTATATCACCGTTACACCCTACGGACAACTGAGTTCGAATTTCATGAAAATCGGCCCAAAACTGACAGACAAAATGGCTGCCCTTCGTTCTCAAATAGCTTAAAAATATGGTATATCAAGGTTGTGGACCCTATAGAGGTCACAATTTCTATCTAATTTTGTTGAAACTTGAAATGTAAGTTTATAGCCCAAAGATCTCAGTTCCTTTCGATATTCGCGCATATCGGACCGTAACTTCCTGAATTATGGCCCCTGATTGTTCGAAAAATCACATTTTTAGCTTGTGGACGCTATAGAGGTCATAATTTTTATCCGATTTAAAAAAACGTATTATTATATCACCGTTACACCCTAAGGTCGACTGAGTTCGAATTTCGTGAAAATCGGCCCAAAACTGACAGACAAAATGGCCGCCCCTCGTTCTCAAATTGCATAAAAATATGGTATATCAAGGTTGTGGACCCTATAGAGGTCACAATTTCTATCCGATTTTGTTGAAACTTGAAATGTAAGTTTATAGCCCAAAGATCTCAGTTCCTTTCGATATTCGAGCATATCGGACCGTAACTTCCTGAATTATGGCCCCTGATTGTTCGAAAAATCACGTTTTTAGCTTGTGGACGTTATAGAGGTCATAATTTTTATCCGATTTAAAAAAACGTATTATTATATCACCGTTACACCCTAAGGACGACTGAGTTTGAATTTCGTGAAAATTGGCCCAAAACTGACAGACAAAATGGCCGCCCCTCGTTCTCAAATTGCATAAAAATATGGTATATCAAGGTTGTGGACCCTATAGAGGTCACAATTTTTATCCAATTTTGTTGAAACTTGAAATGTAAGTTTATAACCCAAAGATCTCGGTTCCTTTCGATATTTGTGTATATCGAATTGTAATTTCCTGAATTATGGCCCTTGATTGTAGGAAAAATCACTTTCGTTTTAGCTTGTTTTCTATCCATCTCTCGAAAATGTGGGCATATCCTACCTGGCAGCCGCTGGTTCATAACTTTATGATTTTATGTCTATTGCCGAAAACTCGAAAGGCGGCCGTCATCTTGGTTGAGTTCATCCAATCACATGTCGCGGCCAGTGCTCACTCTGGGTTTAATTTTTTTCCGCCAATTTTTTATTTTAATTTAATAGCCATATATTTTTTCCACCAAAAAAGAATAAATATCTATTAGATTTTTTGTGTAATTTTTATACATATTATATCAGTTTACAAAATGCTTCACTGCTTTGCAGAAGCCCATTTTTTGAAAGCTTTTTCAACATCTGGGGTAACCATTTTTAGTAACATTAAATTACACAGTGCATTTGTTTTTAATGAATATTTGTTTTGTTTTTTTTATAATATTTTGTCAACTAAACAGCCTGTAGTTGCCACAGGAATTGTGATATCACAAGGATTTGAAAATTCCCATTCATTCTTAAAAGATCTACCTTTTTTAAATGCACTTAAACATACATTATGCAAGAGTTAACTCTTCCTTTAGGCCTAAAATTCAAAAGCTAATATCTCGGTTCAGAGTGGAGCAATTTGAAATTTATTCTATATTCTATGTACGTTATCTATTTCTTTTTTAACTATTATAGTCAGTTCTTTATCAAACCTGTCAATAATTGCCCTTTATGTTTTTCGACAAAATTGACAGACAAAATGGCCGCCATTCGTTCCCAAATAGCGTAAGAATATGGTATATCAAGGTTGTGGACCCTATAGGGGTCACAATTTTTATCCGATTTTGTTGAAACTTGAAATGTAAGTTTATAACCCAAAGACCCGGTTCCTTTCGATATTCGTGCATATCGGACTGTAACTTCCTGAATTATGACCCCTGATTGTACGAAAAATCACGTTTTTAGCTTGTGGACCCTATAGAAGTCATAATTTTTACCCGATTTAAAAAAACGTATTATTATATCACCGTTACACCCTAGGGACGACTGAATTCGAATTTCGTGAAAATCAGCCCAAAATTGACAGACAAAATGGCAGCCGTTCGTTCTCAAATAGCGTAAGAAAATGGTATATCAAGGTTGTGGACCCTATAGAGGTCACAATTTTTATCCGATTTTGTTGAAACTTGAAATGTAAGCCTATAACCCAAAGATCTCGGTTCCTTTCGATATTCGCGCATATCGGACCGTAATTTCCTGAATTATGGCCCCTGATTGTACGAAAAATCGCGTTTTTAGCTTGTGGACCCTATAGAGGTCATAATTTTTATCCGATTTAAAAAAACGTATTATTATATCACCGTTACACCCTAAGGACGACTGAGTTTGAATTTCATGAAAAACGGCCCAAAATTGACAGACAAAATGGCCGTCGTTCAATCTCAAATAGCGTAAAAATATGGTATATCAAGGTTGTGGACCTTATAGAGGTCACAATTTTTATCCAATTTTGTTGAAACTTGAAATGTAAGTTTATAACACAAAGCTCTCAGTTCCTTTCGATATATGCGCATATCTAATTGTAATCATGTTTTTAGCTTGTGGACCCATTCATTAGAGGTCATAATTTTTATCCGATTTAAAAAACCGTATTATTATATTACCGTTCCACCCTAAGGACAGTTGAGTTTGAATTTTGTGAAAATCGCCCCAAAATTGACAGACAAAATGGCCGCCGTTCGTTCTCAAATAGTTCCTTTCGATATATGCGCATATCGAATTGTAATTTCCTGAATTATGGCCCTTGATTGTAGGAAAAATCACTTTCATGTTAGCTTGTTCTCTATCCATCTCTCGAAAATGTGGGCGTATCCTGCCTGGCAGCAGCTGGTTCTATTTTGAGGTAGCCTAGTACATGCAGGCCTATTGTAGAAGTTGATATCGCTTCAACATTCAATTTTTCGCTTTCGACCCATGGCATGCGATTTGATGATAACTGACTTTCGATCGTCTCTGGAGTTTAACGTCCACTTCCACATAAACTGTAACAGCAAATCTGGCTTCATTTATTAACTATACGGGCAACAGGAGTAAGAAAAAGATAAAACAGACGTCATAATCCAATAATCCCAAACAAATCGAACGAGTATTATTCTATTGTCCGCCATTTTGAATATATAAAAACCGTTAAAAATAGCCACCGATTCGTATTTGGAGACAAATAATTAAATCTTTTGTCTCTTAATTAGCTTATTACTACTCTTACTGTAAATACTAATCAACACTAATCCGAGATTGATCAATAGACAATGGATTGGTACCTAATTGATTGATAACTGACTCAGCCAAGCGCAATAGACTGTAACGTGTGTACGGCGTGGAAATCAAAGCTTTGTGGCAAGAAAATTTTATCGTCACGGTTAAAAAAGAATCGCCGTACAGGAAAAAGTTATCGCCCAAAATTCCGCCAGATTTAATATTTTATCGCCAAAATTATATTTTTATCGCAATTGGCGTAAATGGCGATCGACAGCGTGAGTGCTGGTCGCGACGTCATTGACATTACCAGGTTACAACCTCCACGACGTCACATAACAACAAGGCTGGTTTGTTTATTTGTTTGAACGCCGCTATTGGCTGAGTAGTGTGTTGAATATTATAATGAGTACTATAAATAGAAAGAGGGGATCTCGCCGGTTGTTTTGGTATAGGTTACGTGCGGGGCTTCCTACGGCAAAATGGCTACATTTTCAAGCGAAATTGGTCAATTATGGCTTTGTTTCAAGTAAGCTGACCTACTTGGAGTAAACTACTATTTACTAATTGCTCCATTTCTACCCTTTATCTACATTTTCCTGCTAGTAAAGTGTGACGGGCTGAATTTTAACATGATAAAGTATTCGAAAATGGTCAAAACCAAATTTTGAAAATTTTTGCACTCAGACACAAATTAGCGTATAATTAGAAATCTACTTCTGCGACTTAGACTCATTTTGCTATCACCAGTCACCTATATGTATGAAATTTATATACATCATTTAAATTTGTGAAACAGAGGTCTATTGAATTTCAGAAATTTCCGTCAATAATGTCTTAGAGTTATGGCCCTTGTTTTACTTTGTGAACCTTGTGAACGTTTGAATGACAAAAGTGATCATTCGATCTGTATGAAATTTATATGCATTATTTAAATTAGTAAAACGAAAAAGCCTGTCAAATTTCAACAATTTCTATAGACTATTTCCAGAGTTGAGGCCTTTGTTTCAGTTTGTAGAGCCTTGTGAAACCTCAAATGACAAAAATCATAATCTGATCTGTATGGAACTGTCTTGTAAAGGCCCCCGATTACCTACAATGGAATAAATATGGGACAACCCTTGTCAACTGCTCGGACGATTTAGCTGCTGTGGGCGTATGTTTCGTTGCCTGTCAACCTATCTTTATTTTCAGAATGCCATTCAAGCTATCCATTCCTCAGGAATTTTACACCAGAAAATAATGGAAAATTTAGGTTTGTATTCTGTTGTATTCTATATTTTAGATTAATTTAGCCAAAGGCATCTTAAAATATTTATGCGCAAGATTTTTAGCATGCTGAAAATATTGACTGTAGAAAATATGCTGAAGATATTAACCAGTTTCCTCCCACTGCTAAAGACCACTATGCACAAGCAAATTATTGAAATAGAATTGAGCCATATGTTAGTCCTAAAATGACCTAGTTTGTGTTGAGTGTATGATAAACCCCATTCCTCTCTCTCTCTCTCAATATATTAACAATATGGTATACAAAACATGCAGTAGATACTGAGAGTATGGTATATATAGAACATTAATTTAAAATGGGCAAAGATATTTTGCTGTCGATCTTAGACATGTTATCTTTGCCAGAGGTTGGGTTATCCAGGACACAAAATTTGCTTTACATTCATGCACAAAAGAATGACTCATTCCTACAGCAAATTTTTATACGCCCACATTTTCATGTGCTGTCTGTCTGGACATCTGTCCGTCCGGACATCCGTCCGTCCGTCCACAATTGTTTGTGAACGGTCTACAGGTCACAATTTTTATACGCCCACATTTTCATGTGGAAGTATATTGTCATCGCCCCCGTCCGTCCACAATTGTTTGTGAACAGTCTACAGGTCACAATTTTTATCCGATTTCAATGAAACTTGAAATATAGGTTCCTTTCGATATTGGCATCTATCGGACCGTAACTTCATGGATTATGGCCCCTGATTGTACGACAAATCACGTTTTTGGCTTGTGAACACTGTAGAGGTCACAATTTTTATCTGATTTTGTTGAAACTTGAAATGTAAGTTTATAACCCAAAGATCTCGGTTCCTTTCGATATTCGCGCATATCGGACCGTAACTTCCTGAATTATGGCCCCTGATTGTACGCAAAAACGCATTTTTTTGCTTGTGGACCCTATAGACGTCATAATTTTTATCCGATTTATAAAACTGTGTTAATATATCACCGTTACATCCTAAGGACGGCTGAGTTCGAATTTCGTGAAAATCGGCCCAAAACTGACAGACAAAATGGCCGCCCTTCGTTCCCAAATAGCGTAAAAATATGGTATATCAAGGTTGTGGACCCTATAGAGGTCACAATTTTTATCCGATTTTGTTGAAACTTGAAATGTATGATTATAACCCAAAGATCTTGGTTCCTTTTGATATTCGCGCATATCGGAACCTAACTTCCTGAATTATGGCCCCTGATTTTACGAAAAATCGCGTTTTTAGCTTGTTGACCCTATAGAGGTCATAATTTTTATCTGATTTAAAAAAACGTATTATTATATAACCATTAACCCTAAGGACGGCTGAATTCGAATTTCGTGAAAATCGACCCAAAACTGACAGACAAAATGGCTGCCATTCGTTCTCAAATAACGTAAAAATATGGTATATCAAGGTTATATAACCGTTAACCTTAGGAAAGCTGAGTTCGAATTTCGTGAAAATCTGCCCAAATAGCGTAAAAATATGGTATATCAAGATTGTGGACCCTATAGAGGTCACAATTTTTATCCGATTTTGTTGAAACTTGAAATGTAAGTTTATAACCCAAAGATCTTGGTTCCTTTCGATATTCGCCCATATCAAATTTTAATTTCCTGAATTATGGCCCTTGATTGTAGGAAAAATCACTTTCTTCTTAGCTTGTTCTCTGTCCATCTGTCGAAAATGTGGGCGTATCCTGCCTGGCAGCCGCTGTTTCTATGAAAAATGAGAAATTTTAATTCAAAATTTTGAAAAACAGTCGAGTTAGAGCAGATGAAAGTCAACAATTATGCAAAACAGACCCAATTTCCATGAAAATCGCCTATTTAGCCTTCACCGTGGCCTTCAATCGCGAGGTCATCAGGGATACAATTTGAAGTTCACATGTTGCTCTATCAACAAACCATATCTTATTCGAAAATATTGAAAAACAAATGAGTTAAGAGTTGGGATTTTAAAAATTTACTTGTCGGACATTTTACCCTAAATAAAAAGGTATAACTCTTATCGTTATTTAAACAGACGGATTCATACCACAATTAAAAATCATGTGTCAACAAAATATTCAAATCCGTACGTAATAAAAATAGGAACACCTCGCTATTTTTGTACGCCCACATTCTCGTGTGGACATATATTGTTGTCGCCCCTGTCCACCCGTCTGTCCGTCAACAATTTGTTTATGGGCACTCTACAGGTCACAATTTTTATCCATTTTCAAGAAATCTTGAAATATAGGTTTAAGTCCCTAAGAATTCGGCTCCTGTCGATATTGGCATGTATAGGACCGTAACTTCATGGACTATGGCTCCTGAATTTACGAAAAATCACATTTTTAGCTTGTGGACACTGGAGGTTACAATTTTTATCCGATTTTGATGAAACTTAAAAGGTACATGTATGTTTATAACCCAAGGAGCTCAGTTCCTTTCGATATTCTCGCATATCGGATCTTAACTTCCTAGATTATGGTCCATGATTGTACAAAAAGTTGCATTTTTAGCTTGTAGCCCCTCAAGAGGTCACAATTTTTATTTGATTTTATAAAACGTTTTAATATATCACCGTTACACGCTAATGATGGCAGAGTTCGAATTTCGTGAAAATCGGATCGAAACTGCCAGACAAAATGGCTGCTTCTCGTACGCAAATAGTGTAAAAGTATGTAATTCCAAGGTTGTGGACACCCTCAAGGTCACAATTTATATCTGATTTTCATGAGACTTAAAATAATTATATTTAGATCCCAAAGATCTTGGTCCCTGTCGATATTCCCGCATATCGGACCGTAACTTCATGGAATGTGACCCTCGATTTGAAGAAAAATCGCGTTTTTAGCTTGAAGTTCCTCTTGAGGTCACAATTTTTATCCGATTTTAAAAACCGTTTCAATATATCACCGTTTCCCTAATGACAACTAAGTTTGAATTTCATGAAAATTGGACCGAAACTGCCAGACAAAATGGCCGCTCCTCGTACTCAAATAGTGTAAAAGTAAAAGTATGTAATTCCAAGATTGTGGACACTCTAGAAACACAATTTTTATCAGATTTTGATGAAACTTAAAATGTATGTTTATATCCCAAAGATCTCTGTTCCTTTCGATATTTGCGCATATCACATCGTAGCTTCCTGAATTATGATCCCTGAATATACAAAAAAACACGTTTTAATCTTGTAGTCCCTCTTAATGTCACAATTTTTATTCGATTGATGAAACTTTGATATTATATACTTTTATATCCCAAAGATCTTGGTTCCTTTTGATATTGTCGCATGTCAGACTGTAACATTCTGGATGATGGCCCCTGGTTGTACGAAAAATTGCTTTTTATACCCCCCACACGAAAATGTGGTCGTATATTGCCGTCGCCCCTGTCCGTCCATCTGTCCATCGTCCACAATTTCTTGTGAACACTCTAGTGAGATGAAGAAGCCTATTTAATTTCAATAACTTCCGTTAATTTCTTCTGGAGTTATGGCCCTTGTTTCACTTTGACAACAGTTATCATATGATCTGCTTGAAATTGATATGCATCATTTAAATTAGTGACAAGAAGAAGCCTATTGAATTTCAGCAATTTCCGTTAATTACGCCGATAGTTATGACCCTTGTTTCACTTTGTTGTACCTTGTAAATGCTCTAAGGACAAAAGTTATCTGATCTGTATGAAATTCATATGTATCGTTTAAATTAGAAAAACGAACAAGACTTTTGATTTTCAGCAAATTTCCATTGATTACATCTAGAGTTATGGCCCTTGTTTTACTTTGTTAAATCTTGTGAACGTTTGAACGACAAAAGTTATCATCCGATCTGTATGGAATTTATATCCATTATTTGAATTAGTAAAACGAAAAAACCTGTCGAATTTCAGCAATTTCTGTAGATTTTAGAACCTTGTGAACCCTCAAACGACGAAAATTATAATGTCATCTGTATGAAATTGTCTATTAAATTCCCCTAATTACCTACGTGCGACAACCTTTGTTGACTGCTCGGACGATTTAGCTGCTGTGGGCGTATGTTTTGTTGCCCGGCAACCTATCTTTATTTAGCTTGTTCTCTGTCCATCTCTTATAAAATGTGGTTGTATCTTGCATGGCAACCGCTTATTCACATTTAATTCCCGTATGGTATTTAAATTTATGTCAGAATGAAATTTGCCGATCCGTGCCTGTTTCAATCAAATTCACGAGTCTTCGTTTATACGTCAGCAAATGAAGAAAGGCGTCAGAAATAAGAATTATTTGTGGTGATTTTCGTAAAATGGTATTTTAAAATTACATTGATAGTTAAATTACTTGTAAAAGGCATACATAACTTTGGCGTGTGGCGAACGTGACCGTTAACATATAACACATACAGTAGTTTCGTAGTAAGCACTCCCTTACATACACTGGGAAGTATCAAAGGTGACATTTGTGGAAATCAGGTGTAGATTTCATGCCAATTTAGTAAATTTCTGCAAATATCGGTGAAATTCTAATTATCGCCACAAATCTAATACCGCGAGGCTAAAATCTGTAGATACGGTCTGTTAATTAACAGGGGTGAGAAATTGACTGAAAGGTGATTTAATTATCGCTTGGGGTGAATATCTCCGTGACAGTGCGTTTTCTGTACTGGGTGTGTTAATTAACGGACGGGTTAAAAGCGACTGACACAGTGTGTATTCTTTGTTTGGTGAGTTTTCTCGAAAGCGTGTTATAACTGCAGCAAAGGTGATTTATCAAGGACCAGCAGGCTTTATCTGACGCGTAGGTGTTAAATCTAATTTACCGTGCAATTTCTTGTTCGACCGTGTGTTTTATGCAGATCGGTCTTTGTTAAGTGTAGGTCTTTATACATGGATTTATACGTGGAGTAGTTACATATTTGCGTTCTTATACATATTTCATTTCTTGTTTTATACTTCGTCACTGCTATATTTACTACACGTGGGCGTATTACTATATGAATGTATAGTTTCTTGCCTGGGTCATA